CCCGTCCTTCCCCTTTGCCACTCCCCCCTCCCTTTCCCTCTGACTGCTCCCCCCCCTGCTGTTCTTGTGCTGGCCCTTAGAGGTCATCAAGACGGTTTCTAATCTGGCCCCCTCCCTGCCGTAGGGTCTCTCTTCAGGGATGACATCATCGTTCACCTCCTCGTCTTCAAGGACCACCTTCTCCATGCCAAGCTGCTGCCAAGGTGCCTGCTGCTCATCTCCATCTTATGGTACCTCACCTCCTCCTTGTGGCACTTTACACACAACATGGTGGGCAGAATCCCCCAGACCTGCCACCCTCCTTGCACCATCCCCAGACCCATTCATGATTAAAAGACAATTTTAAATTTTAAATAACTAGTTTTAATTATAGTTAATTAACTGAAATTGTAATTAACGTCTAGACGGGCTTTTAAGAAGGTCTTCTAACCTTTGATTGGTTGCAGAGGGCACTAGGAGTGCAGATTCCTGGACCCCACCAGCAGACAAAGCAGCCACCCGCAGACCCCAGGACCAAGACGACAAGGATGAAGAGGATCAGAACTGACCCATCAGCTGTTCATCTTGGCTAAACACTTAAACCAATGCCCTAGTGAGGGGGCATTGGTCGTTAACCCCTGACCTTTGCTATGCTTATGCCTTGACTCTGTGAATACTCTCCTATACTTCTCGGCTTGTGTTCACCTGCTAGCGAACTGGAGTGTTTCCCTCCCCAGGGGGTGTCAGTCTTTCTTGACTGGACTGATTCTGTTGCTGCCCTTATGATGCCCTGAATGGAAGGTTCCTTTTGGGAAATTCTCAGGAGGGGGACCTGGGCCAAGGGCTCAACCAGCTTCTCACTGGCACTTCGAAGGCCCTGGGTGGGCTTCTGGAATGAGCATGTTTCTGAATCTCTAAAAGCATGCCCCACCTCTTTTCCTTTTCGGGGGAATGGGGACAATAGGAGCAGCCTCCTAGGGTTGTTGTGAGAATTAAATGAGCTAAAGCAGCCTCCGGCAGGGCCGGGCATAGACAAGGCGGTCAGCAAATGTTTGTTGAAAAGGTTCGGCAGGTCCGTCCATTCCCACCCCTCTTGCTTGTCTTACTCATCTTATTTATTCTCCAGCAGCACTGAAGACAGCCCCTGTCCACGGGGCTCTCCTCGCACCAGGTAGGGGCTTCACAAAAGGGACCGGCAGTCTGACTTGAGTAAGAGCACGAGTTATGCATGTGGCCATTTCCAGAGCACTTTCTATGTAATATGACTATGTTATTTCTGTGTAATGTAATTAAGGCAGCCTCATTTCCAGGTGAGGATAAATTTGGTGTTGATTTGTCCATGGGGTAGAACTCGCTCCCATTTGCCGTAAGGAAACTGAAGCTGGAGGAATGTAAGTCTGTTGTTGCGATGCTGGCAAGAGAAGGGGTCAGAGTTGGACCCTGGGTGCCATTGTAGCTACCCATTACCCCCTTGTGGCCCCCTGGCCCAGAGCTGTGTACTAAGAGTCCTTTTATTTCAAACCAGACATTTGACAATGGGACAGTCTGTTTGAAATCCCAATTGCCCAGGGTGGTCTTGGGGATCTGGGTGGCCCCAATGCTAGTACCATGTGCTGGCTTCACCTCTTAATGATGGTGTGACCTTAAACAAGTCGCTTAACTTCTCCAAGTTTCAGTTCCTTTCATGGTCTAAATGGGGATTAAAAAACAACAACAACAACAAAAAAAAACATACCAGCGTTTATCTACCCCACAAGGTGCTTTTGAAGCTGAAATGATGTAACTACTATGAAAGTGCTTTGTAAATTGCTGTGGAAATTGCAAGATACTTAATGCCCGAGTTTGTCTGTTATTGTTCCCGTGTTCAGCCCTGTTCTCCCTCAGTAATAACGGCACCCAGTAGGTGCTTTGTGTGTTTATGTTCAGTAAATAAATTCCAGAATAAATAAAAACAGAAGAATTAATTCAACAAACATTTTCTGGAGCACCACCAATATGCCCAGTGCACCAGGCTAGGTATGTGCTACAAAGATAATGAAAACAGTCTCTTGGGAGCTAATTGGGGTCCTCGTTTGACCAGCACTTTCTTTCGTCCCCTTTCAAGCCAACCAGTTTTGTCCGGACAAGACAAAAACAACTGAAGCCGCTTTAGAGAAGCCCGGCTTGGTGTAGACAATAGCCGCCGGGCATCTGAAAGGGGCTGATTGGATTAGGTGGCAAATGGAGGTGCAGGGATGACTCGGAAGGTGACAAATGAAGTGGGCGGAGACCTGCTTTGAGTTAATCCAGGCTATTAGGAGGGGACCTTTTGTCTTCCAGAGACTGGCAGGAGCTTTTGCCACTGGTCTTTATATCCTTAATGTTCAGGACGAATAATTTATGGTCAGTGAAAATCCAGGCCCCAGTGAGATTTGAGTGGGCTGTAAAATTGAGGGTCCTGCTACCAGAGAGCAGTGAGAGTGAGCACTGACGTCTCCCTTTGCAGACGCAGAGCCCTTTGTGCAACCACACATTCATTTGATCCTCACAACTCCCTGTCCTGACCCAGGACTGGCCTGCCACCTCCCAGGGACACAGAGGCTGTCAAGTGGCTCTTTAGTTTGGGCACCTGTACATTGCACCCATTGCCTCTTAAGTTTTAGAAGAAGTGCACCTGTCTCAGCACCGACCCACCACTGCGGCAACCCTCTGAATTTCCAACTTTGTTCTTCCTGCAGCTCAGAGCCTGCCGGCTTCCTCCTGTCCTCCTTTCTAGCCTCTCAGCCTCTGTCTTTCCTTTCACAGCCAAGCCTCTTGAAATGCCTGTCTACACTGTCTTCCTCCCTCACCTCCAATTTCCTCTTCAACCCACTGCTTCCTGACTCGCTCTGCTCCGTCGAACGGCTCTCACTAAGGTAAAGACTTTTCTGTAGCTTCACCCTGGACATGTGTCTGGCTCACCGACACGTGGACACATTTCCATTCCTTCTCTCACATGGCTTTGCGGCTCCGGTTCACTTCTGTTTACACACCCTCCCGTCGGTTTCACAGAGACACCTGCTCCCACCTCCGTGTTTCTTAGCCTCCCTAGGAACTTGCATACCCAGGTCTTCCAGCTTCTGGAATCTTCCTCTTGCCGTCGTGCCATGATGCCTTAAGAACTCAGGAGTTCTCTGACCTGAGTCCTAGTCAAGCTACTTAGTGTGGAGAACTTGGGGTAGGTCAACTTTTCCAGGCCACCTTTATCTCAGTTGGAAAACAGCGTTAATAATCTTTACCCTTGCAGGTCAGGTGGGATATCCTACAGGTAAGCACCAGACTTTGTTTGGGGGACTTGAAGTAAAATCAATAGAAGTTCATGAGAAAACACAATTGTAGTCAACACTCGATTTTCTTACACATTAAGTTCCCACAAGGACCAAAGAGAGGAGAAAGAAATGGAGGGGAAGGGGGGGAGAAACGTCAGAGAGAAAGCAGAAAAGAATGAATTAAAAATGCCATTAAGGATGAAAAAGTAGGAAAGAGAGGCTTAGAAAATATTAAAATCCACCAAAATACATTTAGAGAAAAGGTTTCCTCTTGAGTTGGGCTAAAAGAAAGCAAACAGGAAGGTTTTAAATTGATTAGCCCAATGACAAATCCCAGGAAGCTTTCAGATCAAATCGCCCCATTTTAGGTTTTTAACTCCATCAAGTTTAACCTCTTTACCTCCTCCATCGTGGTAAACCCTGACCTCCCCTCCCCCCAACAACCCGCTTTGCTAGTGATTAAATCCTGAAGGTGCACGGAAAGTATTTCAATGAATGAATGGCCGGCAGAAAAGAGCCTTCCCCCTCCCCCCAGCTGTGTTTTTCAGTTTTATTCCACTTTCGTCCTTTTCCCTTAATGAACACAGAGCTGGTCTTGGGCCTTGTCGAAGGAAGAGGCCGCAGACGTTAATGAGGTAGCTGCTGGATTCCAATATTCGTTCTCATAAGGAGCCTTCTTTGTCTGTGAAGGAAAAACACACTGATTATCATAATGAGGTGAACTGGTGACCGCAGGGCAGGGGAGACGCGGGTTCTTAAGCCACACTTCTAATTCTGGTGCTGGAACTGACGTTTCTTTTGCTCTGTCCTAGCGCAGAGTCCATTGAGTGGGCTGAAAGTTGAAGGCAGCTTTGGGAAGCAGGGCTGCAGTTAGGGCTGCATCGTAGAAAGGTTCTTTGTTCAACCCTACACGCACATGCAGCTGGCCAGGGCATTCGTGCCCTCTCCCATAGCCGAGGACCAGGGATTACACCAGTGGTCAGTTTCCAACTCTAGCGCTCATCCAATGTGTGTGAAAGGTTCTTTGTTCAACCCTACACGCACATGCAGCTGGCCAGGGCATTCGTGCCCTCTCCAATAGCCGAGGACCAGGGATTACACCAGTGGTCAGTTTCCAACTCTAGCGCTCATCCAATGTGTGTCAGGACCCACTGAGAGCACTCAGCACTTACTCCAGATGAACAAGTGGTAGGAGAGGGCCACTTCGTAGGCATAGAGACAAGATACGGATATATACTGGTACCCCAGAGGGCCCCCCTATGAAAAAGGCATAGTTTGGGGTTCACATGTGGCTCCAGAACACTGATGAAATTGGGACTCAGAGGGTTAGTGATTTGTCAGGACTGATCAACCAAGTGCTAAAGGAAGCTTGAAACTCAGGTCCAGCATCAGAACCTGCCATCTCAATGCCCGCCTCACTCACGTGCCTGACCCCACCAGAATCATCACCCCCCCTTTTTTTTTATCTCATCCTTTAGCTCTGTAGAGCCCCTTAACATCTTCAGAGCAGATACGTCCCAAGTCTGAAACTTGTACTTATTTGTCCTGAGTTCTGCACATTTCTCACCCCAAGGCAGATCAGTCAAGACTAGGTCACTGCAGTTAAACTTTAGGCTCTACCTAGACCTTCAGCTAAATGGAAAAAACTTGGGGAGAAGAGAGGTGATCGGAGCAAGAAAATGTTAATAGTTAAAACCTTAAGGGGCCTCCCTCCCTGAATGAATCTGTTTGGCTAAAGGTTCTCTGGCATCATGGGGTGGTCAAAATCAGATGCTCTTTCCAAGTTAGCAGAATGAGCTGTAGCCCTGCACCCCATTATAAAGAATGTTGAAAGATATCCAATTGGCTGATTGGGGGCAAAAGCCTGAGGTGACCCTCCACCCCTTTTTGTGAGGATGAGAATTTCTGAATGACTGAGATGTAGTTGCCCACCCTGTCTATTAGGATGTTGAAACTAGGGGACTGGGACAAGGGTGCAGATCTCTGAAAATGCGGGTCACACAGAAACCCACCCCTCTTCCCCATGCAGTTATTGGAGCATCGAATAATAAATAGTACAGTTTCTGATGTTTCCAAATGAGAGGGCTTAAGTAGCAAAGAAAAATCCACAGGACCCGTCCCACCCTCAAGTACATATCAGTAATTAAAATACTGGCCCCCAAACCTCTGTTAATATTCTAGCAGCCTCTGTGGACATTTGAGAACCTGGGGAGGGTGGAACCAGGATCTTCCAAGATCTTTGGGGCTTTGTGCTAAGGCTCTTGGAACCCTAACAGAGGTTCGCACATGACAAAACCAGCGAAAGCTAACTCCCCGCATCCAACTCCTATTTGGATTTCTTAAACTTTTCTCAAGCCACCAGCAGAGGGGTCCAAGCTAGTTGCTCCCTTGAGTGCAGGGGTGGCCCTTTTTAGCCTGTTAACTGGTTTCCTCATCACTTAAGAGTCCTCAAGGACACTTCTGGGCCTCAGAGGGACGTGGCTCTCAGCCACCTGTGCACAGGGAAAAGAAAACCACTGCCTTTCCAATCCAGGGGTCCCAGCTGGCTTCCTCTCCTGGCCCTTCTGGTGATGCCCAGAGCCTGCGGATCTCTTCACATCTATCAGGTCGGCCCTGGAGGCACAGGAGATGAGGGGAAGGTGCAGCTTAAACCAGATGGGAAAGGACAGGTTGGACCAGGAAATGCCCTCCCCCCCATCTTCAAAGAGTTATGGTTTTTCTGCTTTTACTGTCCCTTCTTCTGCTGCCTCTCTTCTCTCTCTCAGTCCTTCTCTATCTCCATCTCTCCCTCTCTCAAACTCCCTCCCTCCCCAATTTCTAACTTGGCCCTCTTAGGTGCCCTAGGCCAGCCCCGCCCTTTCTCTGGGTGTCCCAGCACCAGCCTGGCACAGAGTGGAGCTCAGTGAGAGTATGTGGGATGTATGTTTGGGCAGGTGAGTGAATGAAAGGACTCGACTGCCATCCTGAGCAGCTAGGCGGGCGACGCGGGAGCTTAGGCTGAGAGGGTGGAGTGTGCATTTCACTCTACTCAAGGGGAGAGTGGGCAGCTTCCCATCCCCAGCCCCATTTGAAAGTGGGCCTTGCTGGTTGCGTCCGTGCATTCACCCTCGCGTCCATTCCGTCATCCAACAGTTGATCCTGACTGAGCATTACCACGGCCGTGGCATCGGGTTTGGCACCCCCCTGCTAGCGTGACCCTTGATGGCCTCTGCTTCCTGGGAGGGTGGACCGGGGGGTTGCTGTGGCCCCAGGTGTGGAGCTGTGGACTCCGGCTCCCTCCACAGAGGGCAGGCAAGAGCGTGCCAGGGGCGGCTTGGTTTGCCTCCTGTATCCAAACCCTGGAGGAGCTCTCAAACCCGCCCAACCCCAGGGCTCTGCCTCCCCTCTCTGCCTCCCCCACCCCATTGCTGTAGCTGAGTGTTTCTAGCTGTTCCGGACCCCTGGACCTGACATTCTCAGGACCGAAGTGGGCACAGAGGAATAGCTGTGGTGTGTGTCCTGGGCTTAGGCCACACAGGTCTCCCTCTTGAGGTGGGGTCTGTGATTTGGACCTCTCCCTCGCCATGATTCCTTCCTCCCCCTGGGGCTAACTCAGCTCCTTTGCCCCCTAGTCATTGCTGGGGCTGTGTCCCATGCAAAAGGCCCGTGGCTGGGAACCTCCAGGGAGTGTCTGCAGGCTACACCTCTGCCTGACTGTCTACCACTCTGTTCTACCTGGCGGCTCCTTCCCGTTCTCCAGCAGCCAGGTCACCTGTCCACCTGGTGTGCTGCTCACTAGTCTCTTGCCACAGTGCCCACCTGACCCATTTCTCTGCCTGAAGTCCTGGGCTCATGACCCTCTGGGCTCACTGCCCCGCTCTCTGCCTGATGGGTTGGTTTTCCTTGCCAAGCTCAGACCTGTGGCTGCCTGCTGCCCTTTGCCCTGCTGCCCCCTCGGTGCCATGGCACAAGCCTCTGCCGGTGTCTGCATCTCCTGCCAGCTGTGTAGCCAGACTTATGTCCCATCCCACTGGCCCCAGTGACCCCTCTGCCCTGGCCAGGTCCCTTGCTGATGACTCGCTGTTGGTTTTGGGGGCCACCACCTGGGCCTGTTTGCTTCTCTTCCCGCACCTTTTCCTGTCCTCGCGCAACCCACGTGAACCACCCACTCCACCCAAAAGCAAGCCGCAGGTGAGACTGTGCTCTGTGCGCTTCGGGGTGTGTGAGAGGCTTGTCCAGGGTGCTCACCTCACCGTAATTCTCTCTGCCACTCCCCAAGGCTGGCTGTGACCTGGCTGGATCAGCTGAAGAACTGCGGATGGAAGCAGCGGAAGACCCCGATGAGGCCCACCGCCCTGGACCACCCCTCCTCCTAACACTCCTCTTGCCTCCTGCCTGGTTTGGGGTGAGTTTCTTGCTTTTCCTGCAACACCATGATTTCATTAGCGTCAGCTCAGGTCTCTCCTCTCTTTTCAAGAATGGGAACACTTACTCTGGGGAGGGGGCAACCTACCAAGGTAAATCTTTTTCCACCTCAATGTCAGGGGTCTGGGGGCCTGGAAGCTGCCTGGAGCCGAGACCCTTGGTACACCTGGCTGATGCGTGTGGGGTCCACCCTGGTCGACTGCAGGCTGCAAGCCAGGGACGGTAAGTGGGGAGTGTCCAGCTCTGGTCTAGACTCCTGAGGACAGCTCGGGCCAGGCACACTGTAGGCCCTCCAGAAAACTTAGCTGAACATGTTAGCAAATGGATCCCCAGTGCCCTTGCCCTCCCCAGCCCTCCAAAGCCAGCCCGCAGGCCTGTGTGGAGATGTGGATGTAGGAACACTTGTCTGCTCTGCAGCCAGGAAAACATTGCTCCCGCCAGCCACGGTAACGTCACTCCCTGTGAGAATTGAGGTTTCTCGCACATGAGGCTTTGATAATGTCCTTTAATCAAATGGTGGTTTTTGAGTGAGTTCTTCTCTTGGCCTCTTTTCCTCACCCCTGAAATTGCAATGAGATGGGAATGCTTTTGTTTGTTTAAATAAAATCATAATGGTAGAGAAGAAGAGAGCGCAGGATTACGGCCACACAATTCACTCCAGGACTCATCGTGTGTTTATTTGTGGTTCACTTATTCAAGATGCATTAGTAGAGCCATCGAGGCTCAGGGTTAGGGCTATTCTTGGGGTGTCTAGCCAGTCTTTGCCTTGAGGATGAGAGGGTCTAGCTGGGTGCCCTGGGAGGTCCCAGAGCAAGAGGTGTGGCCTCCCGTCAGCGGAGCACAGTGGCATGGAGGGGAGGGGCCTCCAGTTCTGCCTGGCTCAGGGCTGCATGTTGAACACGCAGGCCAGGGTGAAACCTGGGAGGACCGGGGAGAGGAGGCTCACTGAGAGCATCTTCCTTCCTGGGGTCCCAGTGGCCCAGGGGGTCCAGGTGGGAGATTAGCAAGGTCTGGATACTGCGGTGAAGCTGATTTAATTTCCCTAGACATCATAGAGATGCGCATGGGCCCTAGCACTGTCCTTGGACCAGATGCCAACACTGCTCCAACCCCTCGACACTCACAAATGGGGTCTCTGTGAGAGGGAAGTTGATGACCAGCTCAGTGCCAGGGCCGGGCCCCTGCCTCTAGTCCGCCAAATGCACAAGCCAGTATGCAGGCCCCCGCCCTCCTCTTGGAGTCTCCGGACTCTGGTGCAGCTTCCATAATGCTCTTTAATCAAAGAGAGGATTTGGAGACAGCAATTCTGCAGCCCTACTCTTCTCCCCTAAAATTAAAATGGGATGGGGATATTATTTTTAAACAAAACCCATCAGTGTGGGCAGAGGGGGCTATCAGTGTGGGCAGAGGGGGCAGAGGTATCCAAAACTGGGCCTGCTGCCTTTGCTGGCTCATGTCAGCTCTCCAGAGAGAGAGGGGGAGTGTGTGCCCAGGGCTCAGCCCAGGGAGGGGCACCAGGAATGCTCTGGCCTGTGACATTTACTCCATAGCTGGCATTTGCTGAGCCACCTGCAAACACAGTGACGTGAAGAGGCCTGGGAGGGGAGCTTTACACAGGGCAGCATGCTGGACTCCTGGGGGCATCGTGTCTGGAGCTTAGGAGAAGCATCCGGCCTCTAGGCCCATTTCTCAGGGTGGGCTGAGCCCAGGGGCAGAGTCAAAGTGAAGGCAAGGTCACACGGGAGAAGCCCAGGAAGCCACTGCCCGTTCACCCAGATGGTCCCCGACTTTGCCAGCCCCGCTCCCCGCAGGAGTTTGGATAGGATTGTCTTTGGACCGAGTTCTGTTTCAGGTGCTCATGGATGTTAAGTCTCAGGCAAACACGTATTTTGGGTTTTGCGTGTCATTAGGTAAAAAAATAGATAAAAATATATCGAGTTCTCAATTAAGGACATTGAACCACAGCATAATCAGCCCCACAGGTGATAACCTCAGGAATTGCAGAAAGGCCATTATTAAGTATTGAAAGAAATGATCATTTTCAGGATAATTCTTTTTTGATGGATTGGCCAATACCTGAGCAGTAATGGGTGGAAATGAGGCCCAGACCAGACAGGCCATGAGGCACGGAGGACCCTGTCATCCCAGTGGCTGGATAGAGCTCTCCGGCCATTTGTCGTCATGCTAAGCAGTTCCCCAGGGGCTTCCCTTAGCTGACTATTTCTGGGTGGGCACAGACGTCACAGAAGAGATGGTGGTCTTGTCTGAAGGTGGCTCATCTCCCACCTGCCCCCTCTGGGTAGATGGGAAAGGGAACCAAGAGTGTACGTAGCTTAGGGCTGGCTGGTTAGCTCAGTTGGTTAGGGCTCGATCCCTGTACCAGCCAGCGGCCAAAAAGTAAAAGAAAACAGAGCGTAGCTCAGACTCTGTGCTCATGGAAAGACAAAAAGTGGCCCCTCTCCCACCCCCACAGTCTCCCACCTGCACGTTGCTCGTTGCAGCTTTCAGGCCCTGACCTCATGCCTCCT